TACGGCACATTTTTCATGGGGCACCCTGTATTTTATTATGTTGTTGATTCATTTGCCTACAGAATTGAATATAATACTATAAGCAGTAGATTCCCAGAAATTCTCGAAATAAACTTGGACATTACATTATGTTGAATTCTTTCTATAGTGGGCCTCCTTATGAAAGAAATTAGAACCATTTGAAGAATCCTCAGTTGGGATTTCCTTCATATATATCAGGATCATAATGATTCGTAGCAGCTAAATCAGATAATATGCTTTTTTTATGAGAGCCGGAATATATGGATATAGACCCAGAACCAGGATGTGTGCTTCCTTGGGGAGGTATGCTTCAGTATTCCAGGCAGAGGTGCATGCTATTGAGGCATGCCTGAGAGAGAATATTGTAAGAGGATACAGAGGTAAACAAATCTTCATATGCTCAGATAGTCAGGCGGCTATTCAATCTTTAACATGCAATAAAATCAGATCAAAACTGGTCTGGGATTGCCTTCAAAGCCTGCTAACCCTGGCTAACCACAACAAGTTAACTCTTCAACGGGTGCCAGGGCATAAGGGAATTGAAGGCAATGAAGCAGCTGACGCTCTTGCCTGGCATGGGTCTGCGACGTTGTTTATGGGACCGGACCCTGTATTCGGTATCCCCAAAACCTCAATACGCGGCTGGCTGGCAAGGTGGATGATGCAAGAAAGACATCTGGCATACTGGAACAATGTCCCAGGACAAAGACACAGTAAACCGATGGTTGGAACACTGTCCAAAACAGTGACTAACGACATTCTGAGCCTAAACAGAAGTCAGATCAAACAAGTGACGGGACTAATAACCGGTCACTGCCCCTTGAGGAAACATATGCATCAAATATGCTGACTATGCAATGAGGAGGAGGAAACTGCCACCCATGTAATATTGGAGTGCGAAGCACTAGCGCGTTGGAGATACAACCTTCTGGGAGCAGTAAACTCTCAAGAGGCATTTTCAAAGAATGATTTGGTGAAGGAGCTGCTAATCCTCATCAAGGTAGCAAACCTGTTCACCTAAGTCAACAGCATGATCAGGAATACAATAGGCCCAAGGGCTGCAGTGTTTTGGGCTTCAAACCCTGACTGATTATTCTGCTATTAATCAATCAATCAATCAATCAATAAGCAGTAGACTCCCAGAAATTCTCGAAAAAAATTTGAACATTACATTATGTTGAATTCTTGCTATAGTGGTCCTCCTTATGAAAGAAATTAGAACCATTTGAAGAATCCTCAGTTGAGATTTCCTTCATCCCAGCCAGCACAAAGAGGTCCTAAAGATATCTTGAAGAAATCCTTTTAGGAAATTGTGATGCCTTTTGTAACTTCTTTGAGAGATCGCCGAGAGTGCTATATCTAGGCCAAATGTCCGCCACCTAGGCTGATCTCAGCGAGGTCTTGAAGATATCGCACGCAGAAATTCTCATACAATGCCCTCAGGCGCGCACTCTGAGATATACGCTTCCATCGCCACTGGCGATAACTGAAAGTGCTCGCAATTATGAGCTGTTTGAGAAATTCGCATACATTGCTTTGTGACGAGGACATTGGGAGATTCGCATCAATTGCTTCTGTCGAGGTCTTTAAGTGCTCGCGACTACGAGCTGTTTGAGATTTTCTCACGCATCGCCTTGTGAAGAGAACTTTGGGAAATTCGCATCAATTACTAATAGCGAACTCTTCAAGTGCTCGCAACTATGAATTGTTCAAGAATCCGTGCACATCACCTTATAACGAGGCCTTTAAGAGCGATATTTGCATCAATCGCCACATGATCGCCACTAATATGGTAAGGTGTTCAATGTTTGAGAAGTCATTGGATATCAGCAGTCTCCTGTGGGCGAAGTCTAACTAGCGCCAGCTATATTGTTTGGGGTGGAGTTAAATTCACTGGATATTTGTTTCAGAGAAAAATATTGAGTTACCAAACTTAGAGTTAGATCAACGTAATGAGCTTTAATTATATATTATTCTATAGCAAGACATTGATCAAGTAAACTTTATCACTTGAAAAAATCTCCGAGGAGTTGGCCGGGTATCCTTTAAAAAAAAGGTCGTCCGATATCTACCCACGAATTTGAGGTAGATATTTGATTCTCGATCCCACCTGAATTAGAACATATTCGTCTTTTTCGTCAGAGCAGATAATTAATTATCATTAATTCACTGCAAAATTTGAAATAATCATTAAGAAAATCTAGTATCTAGTATACAATTATTATTATCATAGATTAATGACTCCCATTTCATGTTAATACTGGGTGTCCCAAGTTATCGTGAAGGTACCGGCAAAAACATGCTTACTCGACAAGATGAACAAAAAATAGTAAAAATGCTTCAAATAACATCAGAGAACTTTCTTTATGACTCAAAAAAAAGTGTATAAGATTGGACAGCCACCTGGTAGCAACTCCTCAATTTTCATTTAATGGACTCCCTGTATATTGTTATTGAAAATTGCCAAGCATCCTATTTCGGGAATGAACGATAGCACATCGGTACTTTGTATTTTGTTCATTAATAACAACATCAACAATAAAATTTTTTGACCTCATTTACGTTACATCGATTGAAAATTGCCTTCTCCCATGTTCGTAAAAATGTCCCACAATGAAATTAGACTAATTATTACACTAGGTAGGTACCGTCTGCAATGATTGATGTTCTGCAGTTCAAAATGGAATATCTGTCATTAATATTTTGACACAAAAATGCAATCCATACTTCTTATTTGTGAACTTCTCGAACACATAGGTGAAAGCAATTTGTCGTTGTATTCCAAATAGATTGACACGCAATTTTCAGAGACAATATGCTGCTAGATCAGTATCTACCATCCGGGAGCTGCCAAATATATCACATTCTTCATAAGCCATTAGGAAGGTTATTTAATGCCATTTAATGCAGTTTTTCAATGCTTTTGATATCTTGACAAATAGGCGAGATATTGCCTGTAAACGATAACTTGGGACACCCAGTATTTGAATTATAAAGGCTATTGAAAAAAACAACTCAATATTTTTGTAGGAATATTCATTAATTATTCTGGTTATGTTTGTGATTACTTTAGGAGCTCGCAATGGGAAATTCTCGATCTTGTTACGTCCAGGATATCCTTGGGTGCTCGCAGAAAGAAATGCCTATTCATTTCCTGTTATAGATAACCTCAAGGATTCGCAATAATGAGGAATATATCAAATCTGAGGCGAGATCTCCGCGATTTCTTTCGGACGACTCCAGAGAGTATTTCCCATTGTGACAGCCTATAGTGATCTTTGATACCTCGCAGAAGGATTTCGCATTTTGATCCTGAAGATAACTACTTAGAGATATCGCGGAGAGTACCGTGTTACCTGGGATATATATCAGGATCATAATGATTCGTAGCAGCTAGATCAGATAATATGCTTTTTTTATGAAACAATATATTCCTAACGGCATAGAATAGATATAACAGTGATGTGTGTATCATCCAGGACCTATTATTATGAATCAAAACATAATCATCTGTCGTGAAGAACATGGAAAAAGCCATGGCCAACTCACAAAAATTCATATGAAAATCCTATATGTGAGAATGGTAACATCCCATTCTTTTAAAATTCAGTATAGGTCTCATTCGAAGAATTAAACTCTCTATGGATATTACTCATGTAAAATCTCAGTTTTCGAAATACAATAAGATGTTGAAATTGAAAATGAACTCACAATTTTTTTATGAACATTTTGTAAGAGTTATTGTTATCGAAAAACTCAGTCTATATGTGACTGAACTGGTGTCAACATTTCAAAAAGATGTCTATTATTATTCAGTAATGCATAGCAGGTGTCTAAAATTTACTATTCATCAGCACCTACACCAACATTTATTGTTGTCTAAGTTGAGTCTTCCGTTTTCACTTAAAGGCGGTGTGTTCTATCGAGATCTAACATGAGAGCAAATTATCCATAAAAAGTGAACATTTTTTCATATTCCATAATATTAGTGAAATTTTCCATTAATACAAATGGAGAAATATTGGCATTGCCCTAAAGACGCGCAAATGGTATAAATTTCTGCTGAGAAATACCACGAATCTATTTACTTACAGGTACCTAGTTTGTCAACAAAATATATATGGTATTTTTGGTGGAGAGTTATTTATTAATTGGAGGAGGAGCAGTGGTTCTTTCAACTCTCATGATCGAGACGTCTCACGACCAGAATGTTATTAGAAACTTTTCATTTCAAAGTAGGGACGTCTATCGATTATTATTGTTATAGTTCTGCTTCTATATGAAGGAGACTACACTAATATAAGACATCTATTTGGGAACAAAGAAATAACAAATTCAACAAAATAGTGAAAAATGGAAATTCCATTTGAAATGAACAAACATAAAATATCGATTTTCAAAAACACAAGAAAAATTAGTGCGCTACTGGATTATATGAAGAATTCTCTGTTAGATCGTTGATTGATATGAAATGAATCAACGGTGATAGCGAGGGTTATAGATAAAATAATTGTTGTCAGCAGAACATTATTTCTGATAATTTCGAATATACCTCCCTATATCTACATCGAAAATCACCCTATATCTCATAAGAAAACAGTTATGCAAAATCTGATTTTGCTATCAAGGGAACGTGTAAACCGCAAAGCTCTACCTTTGAAACAAATGAAGAAATAGGAAAACTATATATTCAAAATGCAATAGCTCCGGAATTTCATGAATAAAATTCGGAAATTCGATTTGAATCAGTTAGGTGGATCTCCCTATTTGCATTTCACGCGTTATTAGTAAATATTTGTTCGCGTTCGTAAATTAGATGAAGCAATCAATAGTTGATGATAAACCACAAAAAAACTGTTTCCTCCACTTGGTGACATACAGTCAACGTAAAATATCATGAGCATGTATCTAATAAAGTAATGAAAGAAGGAGCAAACAAAAGTTTGTCCATTACCAGATTGAAACAACTTTTCACTTACAATATTAATTTGTATCTGCGTTTCCCAAACAGCATCGTTTAATATACCAGCATTATTGAAAACAATATCTAAATATCCAAAAGTTCCTATTGTCTTGTTGAACGTATCTGGAAAAAATCGAAACATTATAGTATATAGGTACCTATTACATGACAGAAACGGTCTTCTTGGCGAGTCGTTATTCATATGATGGATACTCGAAAATAATGGGGGTTCTCTTCTGTACGCTCCTAGAGATAATGAAAATTGAATCGAATGAACCGAAACAAAAAAAAACAGTTTTACAAGTCAGCATTGGATATTTCAGTGATCATAGCACATATAGGGATGCGATATTATTTTATTTAAAAAAAAATACATCAGCTATCTAGAATTTCAAAGTCACCAACCGAAAGAACTGATGATATCTGGTTATATCTCTGAGAGGAAGTTGAGCAACTTCTCACGCTCTCAGAATTCAGTGAACAATTTTTTGAATCCTCTTCGATGATATTTTTTTTCTTCAAATAATTTTCAAACAAAATGTCAGTGGAACTCTCCTTCAATATACTAATATTTTCATTTATAAAGGAGGGATCTTCTCAGAAGTCTAGAGAATCAACCTCATGTTTTTATCTAATCCTTCATCATGAGGACTGTCATTAATGGAGTGATCTCCTGCTCTCGAGCAATTTTTAGTGGCTCAAGCACTAATTAGCCTGGACTACAGACTTCAGGGATGTTGAGCCCAATAAAGTGTTGCTCGACTTGAATAGACATGACATATTTCCACCTGGAACCTGGAAAATCCTCGAAGCTCCAAACAAAAAGCGAATATACACGATTATACAGTGTGGAGACTCTAACTGGAATAAATTCGTTAGCGAGGAGGTGGATATTTTTTCTGAAAATTCAACACCAAACATTTTCGATCAATTTAAAGCCTGTATTTCGTATCGTTACCATAGCAACTGAACAAATTTCTTGAAAATATTTTCCTCCTCCTTGGGGGACGGAGCATAAAATTACCCTGGAATTTTTTTGACGTTTATAGGTTAAATGACATTTACATTCAACTTCAGATTATTTCGAGTTCATTCCATAAGTCAATAAATGAAAATAATTTATCAACAGTTTACCATATAATATCATGTAGGTATACTTGCAAATTCGGAAGTTACAAAACACATGTTTATATTATACGTTAGTACTTACATTTCATTGCAAACAACCATCATTCTCAACTTAATCATCTGTGTTGTTGAAATTCCTTTAAATTGATCGAAAATGTTTGGTGTGGAATTTTCTCACCAAATACCACTTTAGCTTCAATTAATTGAAGCTCTCATGATATTATAAGTGAGAATTCGTGGCATATGTCAACGATACAATGTATTTACCCACTTCTGCAAGCATTATCGAGAATATATCAGTAAATAAACGGATTGTAGAGGGCATGGTAGGAAAAAAATGTTTTCTCCGATTGGCAGCAAATATTAATTTTGCTGACACATATCAATCAGCAATATGTCAACGATACAATGTATTTACCCTCCTTCTGCAAGCATTATCGAGAATATATCAGTAAATAAACGGATTGTAGAGGACATGGTGGGAAAAAAAATTTTTCTCCGATTGGCAGCAAATATTAATTTTGCTGACACATATCAATCAGCAAAGTATTACTTTTCCTGCCTATGCAGCAAAGTGGGTACTTTGCTGCCTAGGCAGCAAAGTGGTTACTTTGCTGATTGATATGTATCAGCAAAATTAAAAATCCATAAATCGTTTATGATTTCCTTCATATTTCATCCGAGACTTCCCCGGCAACAAATTCAACTCTATATTTTTTCCACCTCCCTTATTAATAGAGGTGTTAATATACTTATTCCAGGTCGCTATCACTGTCCATTATATAATAATTCAAATATACCGATATTTTTTCGCAGAACTGTCAGAAATTTCATGAATTGTCAAACCAACAACTGCGATTTCTATCAAATTTTATTTCAATTGAACACTATACAGGAAGAATAAAGAGATTGTGGGAATTGTATTAATTCGCAAATAAAATATTCTCCCATATCATTATGAACAATCGGAGAAAAAATTATATGTTCAACTCGGCAGCAAAGTAGATTGACTGCCTTAGCTGGATTCCTAGCCTCGCTACGCTTGGCTATGAATTCAGCCACAGCAGTCAATCTACTACTTTGCTGCCTAGTTAAACAAATAACTATTTTGAGACAAGGCATATGTTCATTGTAGATACGTCAATGAGTAACGAATAAATGATATACGGATATTTTTGTTTTATTTTCTAGAACCTTAACATGTCATAATATCATGTACATCTTTTTTCGGATGATTCCGAATAAACCCTGAAGATTCAATGTAAATTTCTCAGAAATATTCGAAATTGGTATGAATGGAAGTTGCAAAACTCTGGAGATATTTAAGTTTCAACAAGCTCTTCGAAAACTGTCATATCCAAATGTTCAGAAAACAAGTGACAGTAGTTTACCATATATATAACAACTCAGCACTTCCCGGAGGTTTTAATACATTGGTAGGTATACAGGGTGATTCAAGTTGATGTAGGATAAAATTACATCAGACTCCAAAAAAAGTGACAGATCAATCTAGAAATTTGCATAAACTGAGATGATCTACCTAAAATGTTTCTGGGGATTGCTGCCATAGAAACATGTTTCAACTTCATTACTTCGAAAGAGAACATCTTCTTTTGGGATGATGAAGCATTCCGATATTTAAAGTTCAATATTGACATCAAAAAAATCCCATATCTTCCAACTCAGATATACTCCAATCGAGATTCCAATACATCCGAATTGTTGAATTGAATGAGTTATAAGGAGATTGAGACTACATCTGTATCATATTCATAGTATTTTCTACAAGAAACCAAGATAAGCTGATTGAAGACAACATATTTCTATACAAAGAAACACCATTGAGTCGTGAGAGGGCGTTGACGAATAATTTTCCTTACAGATTTTCTTGAATACTCAAAATCCTTTGAAGGTACTGCTGAAAAATTCGTAGGGCAATTCACTATCGTGAATGTGCATTAAAAATATGTCATATCAATTCAATGTATCTCTCATTCTCTTTGATGAACATTGATATAACTCTTTTGGACTTCGCCACTGACCACATTCTGATACTCCAATAAATGACAGAAAAGCATTTTTTTTTTTAATTCTCTTGGTTTTCGAGATATCTAACATAATTAAGTATGGTGCTTCTTCTTATTTGTTTGTGATTTGTCAAGATTATCATGCTTTGCAAGTTTCTCCCTCATTTGTGGGACTTATTGATCACAATAATCATGTTCATGCATTCAGCATATGACTAATTGAGAAGTGGTTGTCAGTTTGGAATACAATTGGCGACGTTATCAATTTGGAAATATTTCAGGAAGGTAGATCTTCTTCAGGTACGTCTAACGTCAAAATTCCAAAATGATTTGAAATGATTTTTCAAATTCTGCTTTTTAGCTACATCAGACAATACACGGTGCCCGGAACAAATGATCTACAGGGTACAAGTTGATTTGTTCAAATGGAACACCCTGTATTCCATTCCAAAATCAGTTAGAGATTTCAGAAATGAATCCAACAAAACGAGGTATGATGGGGCTATGTCAAACGACTACGAAGATATAGCCGAATACAAGGTGTCCCATTTGAGAAACTGAATTGTAGATCGTTTGTTCTGAGCATCCTGTATGTTCTGATGAATCGAAAAAAAGAATAATGAAGATTAATTTCAAATGATTTTTCAAATTTTGAAATCGATTCAAAGATTCCTGAGTAAGAGGGGGGACATTTATGGTACATACAATGTGTGGTTCTCCACCGTGAAAACCCAGTAATAATGAATTCTTCACTCAGAGTTCATCTCGGTGTGATAATGAATTGATAATGGAAAAAACTTACAGTCCAGCTGATCAATTCTTGTTACATCAGTTTGTACGAAAATAGCCCTGTTTGGTCCAAATTCCCTTTCAATTTGTTGCAGAGCTCCATGTCCTAACTTTGGGTTGAGATCGGCAAGAGTTACACCCTGGAAATAAAAAATGATCCAACATTTCATCGAAAAATTTCAAGCGAAATTACATAACGTGATTTTCTTGCACCATGAAGACAATTTGTGTTTCAGAAGCAAAATGAGTTGACGTACACATTCACGCTTTTGATAAATAAAGTTATCAATATTCAAATACTGTCTGTTGTAGTGTCTATTTTTTTGTTTTTCCTTTTCATAATTGTTGATCAGTTTATAGATGAAATATGGCTACTCGACGCTGGAAAGGTAATGCACATGAACACTGTACATTCTCACTGGAGTTGTATCCAACAGTTCAGTTTCAGGTAGATACAATTCATGTGTGAATTATGTGTAATTCTTGTTGAATATTGATAGATTGAAATAATTATTATTTTTTAAAGGTGCGCCATATTGGGAAGGATAGCTTTAGCAAGTGAAGCAACCTCCTGTGTATAATTCCGAAGATTATCCTAAAGAGTTGAAGTATCGACTACAGGTAGCATGCGAAGAGGCAATGAGGAATAATTTAATAATTTCGAAAATTAAAAGGAAGGCATTTCTGGACCAATAATGCAAAAAATCAATTCCGTATAAAGCAGGAGATAAAGTTTTAGTGAAAAATGGAGTAGGAAACAAATTAGAACAAGTATATGAAGGACCATATATATACACTATTGGAAGAAAAAGAGATAAATGTTGTTTTAGAAATGGAAAATAGGATTGTAAAAGTACAGGGTATCCCAATTTGGGCACTTTTGCGGGGTATCTCCCTTATCAGTAAAGATAGAGCATTGCGGTTTTCGCGACAGTGTGCTACTTTTTTATGAAATTAATAATGGCGCAAGCAGAATTGTGGTAGCTCTTCCGGTTGTCTAGATACAGGGTGGAATTGAAAAATATCACCCCCTGTGTCTCAGTTATCTTTGAACTTATCGAAGAAGTTAAAACTTGTTTTCATAGAGTTTTTCTCGTAGAATCCAGTGGCGTAGTTATTTTTTTGCTAGCACCTTTTGTTTTTTAGTTATGGAGCAAACATATGTTTTTTTAAATGGATAATAATTGTATACAATTATATATTTTTGGAAAGCTCACTTCATGCTCAATGTATATATGAAATAATATACAGGGTGTTCCATTTAAAAAAACATATGTTTGCTCCATAATTAAAAAACAAAAGGTGCTAGCAAAAAAATAACAACGCCACTGGATTCTACGAGAAAAACTCTATAAAAACAAGTTTTAACTTCTTCGATAAGTTCAAAGATAACTGAGACACGGAGGGTGCCTGAAAAGTTATATTTTTCAATTCCACCCTGTATCTCGACAACCGGAAGAGCTATCACAATTCTGCTTGCGCCATTATTAATTTCATAAAAAAGTAGCATACTGTCGCGAAAACCGCAATGCTCTATCTTTACTGATAAGGGAGATACCCCGCAAAAGTGCCCAAATTGGGATACCCTGTACATAAAAATAGAGTTAAGTATTATAACGAATAATAAATTGTTTATGTGTAAATAGGTAGGTCTTAGTTATAAGAAAGAAAGAATATATAGGGAAGAAACAAAAAACATTTTTTTTAAATCTTTTTTTTCTCATTATCAGGGAAGGTGTAGTGGATGATGATTTGAATGTATAACAAAATAAAGTGTTTAACAATAAAGTAGAACCTTCAGAATCATCAACACAACTTCCCGAGGCAATTATTGTTATTAGATCTTATTTTATAATATTAGCAATGTAAACATATTAATTAGGACACATAGGTAGGCAGAGTACAGATCAATCTTTCAGAAGCATATACTAATAAGACATGAATGAGAACACTGCTATGTACTACATAAATTATGTGAATTAAAGAGTTCTTATTTGGCTAACATAATACTTACTGGATGAAACAATGTTGGGAGAGCCTGAGTTATTACACCAAGAACAAAATGTGAACACATTTTATAATGTTTTCAACTCTGAAGTATTCTTATAGAAGGGGTTGACATAGTCGCCCAACTTTTTCTGGATAAAAATATTTATCTTTTGAAGAAACATAGCTGAAGAGCCCAATCTATTTACTAACTTTTTTACCTCCACGAGGTAGTTTTTTTCAAATACTTCAGCATTTACGAGAAAAAAATAAATGTATTGATGCAAGCTAATGTTAAATAGCATTTCAATCTACTTCAACAACTGAAATGATAGTGAACAAACACTCAGGATACAGGACTATGTATACAGGAAAAATGAGAGAGAAAATAGTTATTTGTTTAACTAGGCAGCAAAGTAGTAGATTGACTGCCGAGCGTAGCGAGGCTAGGAATCCAGCTAAGGCAGTCGTCAATCTACTTTGCTGCCGAGTTGAACATATAATTTTTTCTCCGATTGTTCATAATGATATATATCTCTTTATTTTTCCTGTAATGTTCAATTGAAATAAAATTTGATAGAAATCGCAGTTGTTGGAATGCTCGTTGGAATGGTTGGTTGCTATGGAAATGTCCATAATAATTATAGTTTGACTATTCATGAAATTTCTGACAGTTGTGCGAAAAAATATCGGATTATTTAAATTATTATATAATGGACAGTGATAGCGACCTGGAAGTACTTACACATCCAGAAATGAGGGAGGTGGCAAAAAATAAAGAGTTGAATTTGTTGCCGGAGAAGTCTCGGATGAAATATGAAGGAAATTATAAACGATTTAGGGATTATTAATTTTGCTGATACATAACAATCAGCAAAGTAACCACTTTGCTGATTGATATGTGTCAGCAAAATCAATATTTGCTGCCAATCGGAGAAAAACGTTTTTTTCTTTCAATCTTTGGAAGGGTGTAATTTTTTTCAATTGCAAAGCAGCTACGTATCAACCTCAATTAGCAGAATCACCCCGCGATGTTATACAACTGAATACTTATAAGTTTGATAAATAATAAGAATCTCCACATAAGCTTACTATATTGAATTAGAAGACAATCATAGTTTTGACGATAATTCCGAAATTTTTCATGTAGAAAATATAGATATAAAGCTTAATCATTTGAAATCATTAAAAATCAACTTTCAAATTGATCGGTCACAACGAATTTTGATGTAGATATTCTGCATTTGCACTTCGGAAACGAAGAACCATTTCTCTTGCGCGCAGATAATTTCAATCCTTTGGGTTCGTGAGTACTTATAATAATATGAGTAATGCAAATCAATGTAAGGCCAATTTATCGTACGAGTATTCTATTCGAAGAAGCTATACTGTGCTAGCAGAAAATGTGTTATCAAGAATTTTGTGAAAATCTCATCGTTTGTAATAGTTATTTGTTTTACTAGGCACAAAGTAGTAGATTTACTGCCGCGGCTGATCGGTCATAGCCGAGCGTAGCAAGAATATAGGAATTCAGCCAGAGCAGTCAATCTACATTTGCTGCCGTGTGAAACATATAAATTTTCCTCCAAATATTATAAAAGTTATTTACGTGACAGTGGGATATAGACATGATTAATGCACGCATGTGAGAATTGGAAGCCGTAGGCTAGTCGTGTAATCACATGAATGCGTTGCGTGCAACATTTTATCTACAACTGTCAACATTTTCATAACTATCTTTAAATGTGCCTCATTGATATTCCATTTCGACGCACTCATGACAGTTTTCTGATAATTGGAAACACAAGTTGCCTGTGATCATTTTTGTAACCGTAGCAACGGTATAGGTATAAACAAAGCCGTTTATACAGGGTGTTTCACAGGTAAAGGGAAATATCTCAATGAGATAGGGGTCACCAAGGTGATTCTGAAAATACCATATTTGATAGGTCTTAGAGTTTTCATAACGGAGATACAGTGCGATTTATCGATTTCGAATAATTATTCATTTGTCTATAAGTATTGAACTACCCAGTATATTTTTCTAAAATTTGGTATGGAGCTCAAACTTGGGATGTTGAATGCATTCACCTATCGGGCGAAGAGAAAATCCAGGTTCGGCTTCAGGAAAAATTCGCATTTATACGAAATATTGAAATAACACACTGTATGTAATAATTGACAGAATTCATCAAAGGAATCGTAAAGAGAAGGAAAAACTGAACTGGATTTGATGCTTTTTGTTTTCCCGCCACCAATTCTCTTCGTAAAAATCATAAACAGAAACCTGAAAGTAGGTCAATTTGAAGAGTATTGAAATTATGAAACCAGTGTCAATTATGATTATTCGATATATTTTAGTCAAAAAATTGCTCGAAAGAACTTACTAAGTCTCACAGTTTTTATAACGGACATACATGGTGAATTATCGGCTCTGAATAATTATTCACTCGTCCATAAGTATAAAACTACCCAGTCACATTTTCACAAATATGGTATGTAGCTCACTTGGGACGATGGATTCATTAACCTATCAGGCGGAATTAAAATTCGATAATTCACCCTGTATCTCTGTTATAAAGAATATGAGACTTTTTCTGAAGCTGAACCTGTATTTCCATTCTGCCTGATAGGTCAATGAATTCATCGTCCCAAGTAAGCTCAATACCAAATTTGAGAAGATATTACTGCGATGGGTAGTTTAATACTTATATGGACGGGTGATAATTCACCCTGTATCTCTGTTATAAAGACTGTGAGACTAAGTAAGTTCTTTCGAACGATCATTCAACAAGAATATATCAAATAATCATAATTGAAAGTGCTTGGTTTCATAATTTTAATACTCTTGAAATTGGCATACTTTTAGCTTCCTGTTTATGATTGTTACGATGAGAATTGGTGGCGGGAAAACAAAAAGCATCAAATCCAATTCAGTTTTTCCTCCTCTTCACGATGCCTTTGATGAACTTTGTCAATTATTACATACAGTGTGTTATTTTAATATTTCGAATAAATGTAAATTTTTCCTGAAGCCGAACCTGGATTTTCACTTCGCCCGATAGGTGAATGCATTCAACGTCCCAAGTTTAAGCTCCATACCAAATTTTAGAAAAATATACTGGGTAGTTCAATACTTATAGACGAATGAATAATTATTCGAAATCGATGAATCGCCCTGTATCTCCGTTATGAAAACTCTAAGACCTATCAAATATGGTATTTTCAGAACCACCTTGGTGACCCCTATCTACCATTGAAATTTTTCCCTTTACCTGTGAAACACCCTGTATATAGATGTTAAATTGAATTTTCAGATCGATATCCAGAACCATCATCAAGTTTCTTGAGTGAAAATGTCTCCTGAAGAAGATGATCTACCATCCGATATTGACAATGCGGCGACAAGTGTTTTTTAAATTTTCTTTGTATTCATTCAACGATTTATTTTGGTTGAAATCTATTTCTTATCTCATTACCGCACTAGTGCAGTAATACGTCATTATGACTCAAAAAAATGTCAAATCATTATTTGACAGTTGTAGAAAAAAACAATTTTTTCATCGAAATCTCCATCATTTTATGTTCACCCAATGCAAGTAGTGTCAATTTTGACTACCAATTTGATTCAAATTACTTGAAACGTTCCATATCAACAAACTTTTCCTGCATAGGGCAGAGAAAGTACACCTTTCCTGCCTGTTAAGACACAAACACAAATCGCATTTTCAATTCCAATATTTACCATCGTTAATGTTTTAGTAATTATTGTTATTTGAATGTTCTTCAAATGATGAGTTTCTAATTATATCGATAAAAAAAATCTATTCCACCATTTTTCAATGTATGGAAATATCGTACGAAAAAGTTACTTTACCGCACTAGTGCTGAAAAGTTACTTCTCCGCAAAATTATTGTATTGTTGAAAATAAGGATATTTATAGGACTAACTAAACTATCCATGTAACTATTCTGTCTTATAGGACATTTTGTAGCATCATCATGAAATATTGTTGATTAAAAACCTTTTTTTCATAAATATCAAGGACAAAAACAATCGGAGGCAAAACTTTGTACCAAACTGTTGCGGGAAATGTCTTTTCCGACCTCGACGACACTTTTCGCACTTGTTAGGTAAATAACTATCACTTCCGATATAGATCTAGTTTTCGTTCATTAGCTGGAATATTCGTAGCTCATATTTTTCTCTCTGTGATAACTGATGAGGAAGCATAAATAGAGATGCTTTAACCAGCCAACCAGGCAACTGATATTAATTGAATTATTTTTGATAGTGTTATGTTATTCCATCACTATCTGATGAATGACAGTGCTCATTAACTATAGATAATTTCGGAAGACATTGAATCATTGCTGCAACATGGATTATTGTACTTGACCTACATATCTACTTTATATCATTATATCAAGGTTACTTATATTTATTACGAATTTCACAAAATGAAAGAATAGAAGGCATCATCGAATACACTTACTACAATATTCAAATGAACAAAATATCGTATTTTAATACGAGCTCGATATTAGAAGTAGAAATGAAATTACGCCTTTCCGAGTTCGAAAAATAATAATTCATTATTGTGATTCCGGCTTGAGAGAGATAGAATAGAATAGAAAAAATCCTAAAGTTGAAAAACTCGATTCTGAACACCTTATATCTATAATCATTTCCGCTTTACCCCAAGTGTGATGCATTGATAAAATCAGCTCTTCATGGAGGATCTAAAAATGCAATGAAATACAGGGTGTTCTATTTGAAATATTGAACTTGCTACTACTTTCTGAAAGAATTGGCAGCACCACATTGTCGAAAATATTTTAGTTGGGTAGAGACTGTCCGATCATTTTCTCCATCAAATTTTCGAAGTGACCCGATTTCTATAGTTCACCAGAATTTATTTTTATTTCCTAAATAGAATCATGACTCAAATACCTTTCAATTTCACATCTTTTCAGAACTCTCCGGTCGATTTCAAGTTGTCAAAATCATTAATAATGCCACGGTTATTTTCAAATGGCTATAGAAATTCACCGCGAGTACAAACAGACGTAACGATTTAGTAGGTAGGGGCAGACCATAGCACAGTTCTCAATTATGTACTAGTAATATTCCTAATCAACATTGAAAAATCAATTGTCTCAAAATGTTTCGTCATGTGTTGTTGCGTATTGGTTATGAAACGTTTGTGTGAATAATAGTCATATAAACTCACACTAAATGACATTTGAGCCGGTAAACGCTCGGGTGAAAGTGACAACAACGGCGCACGAATTGTGGGCGTCGTCTTGTCGGTTCTCAGCATTCAGAAAATTTTGCCAAGTCTCCTACATTCACATGATATTTTGTTATGGATTTAAGAAATATTTCGACATGCTGGTTGCTCGAGAAAGCATGAAATATCAACAATTTTGAACAACGTATAGACTCTTTATTTACGAAAAAAGTGTTGCAAAAACTAATTCAGGTCATAGTAGAGTCAAGTCATTAACAATGTCTTCATAGTATTTACACCTATAACCTTACCCACTTCATACATTTAGAATCTCAGTTTTAATTATACAACTTTGATTGAATTCAACTTGACCAATGATATAAAAGTATCAAGCATTCTATAAATTTAATATTTCTATCGATACACAGGGCGTTTCGAAATTCAGTATCAAGATTCTATGGGCTCATATTTTAGGTTGAAATAAGACTGTATTTTCCTATAAACATGTGTCCACAAACGCTTCTTCACCAATCTTTCATTCTGCCCATCAAAGAACAAGGGGAGATACGAGCGTTTCAGCCAGAAGGGGAGGAGGGAGAGGTTATAGGTTTACTAATGTCAGTGTATGAATAACATGAATATCTATGATAAAAACTTCTACAGCTAGGGAAAACGCTATTTGACGACGACGACGTGAGTCATTGCTCGACCTACGGTCTCGCAAATTTTTTCATGTCAGTTTTTCTCGTAAAATTAATTACTGATCGGCCAATGTTTCTCGTTACCACGAGAAATTCATCCAATGAAAAAATGCTCTTGTAACTTTACCGTTGAATAGATATCCATCAACAATAACAGATCAAAAAATATCTCAGCTAGAAGGTATTATTCATATCACGAATCAAATGAAGATTGGGTTTCTCAATATATTATATTATTTGTTCTTATCATCGTCATTTCAGTTTTAGTCATTGTTGTATCCGTTCGAGTTCGACATTTTCATCCAATGAATATCTCCATATTATATCAATATTACGTAAAATGATAGCCTTTTCCAGAGAAAATATCAAACAAACTGAGGTTTACTTCCTTTTATCGTTAATTTTACTAAAAATCAATACAATACCACCAATACTAACTCGAATCAAATTAAAAAGTATATTGGTATTCATTCACCATTATTCAATTTCTACGCAAGAATGCTTGTATCCAAATATCGAATAATCTAGCGTTTGAAGAATATTTTTACATTTGAATTCGTATTTACCTTCAAGCCATTCCTCAATAAAGCTTTCGCAAACTGAAGCCCAATACCAGAAGCACCTCCTGTGATAAGAGCAACTTTTCCTCTAATTTCAATAACCATTTTGACACTGAAGTATGAATGAGAATGTTCAGTTCTTCTGAAACAAAATAAGATTTTAATATTCTTATTGTAAATATTTTTTTCATATCAGCAATGTTATGAAATTCGCCATTAATCAATAACTTGTCCCTCAATATCACTTCGATACATTATCAATGTTGGTCTCAACGAAGGTTTTTTTTGATAGTATAATTAAGAAATATATTACACACTTGTATTGTTTTTCGAGTTCTCATTTCAATATAATATTGGATTGAAAATTTATTATCTCATATAGGCGTTTTCAACATGGTAAATTCTACTGAAATAATATATACTGGGTGGTCCATTCAAAACTATCCACCCTTGATGACTCGCAGGAAAATTATTTCACAAAAAAATACCGAAACACGTCGATTCTTATCTGGTGGAGGGCACCATTGACGCAAAAAGGATAATATATATACTTCAACCCTATACTCCCCAGAGCAATTCCCTCGTTTATTTGAATAGGGAATAAGGGTAATGTGATACATCATTGCAAAGGTCATTCAATTCTGACAATAGCAGTGCGGAGTTCTTCGAATTTCAACATACCATTTTCGAGATATATGTGTTCAAATGGTTTGTTTTCTAATTCTATCTGTGAGTAAATTAAAAATTAATGTATGGAATAAATATTTGAATGGTTATCCATCACTGAGAAAACCTGACCAAGTAAATAGATTGTGACAAGAGCATTTTCACCATCGGTAGAAAAATAAAGTAGTTGAAGTAGGCAAAACATTATTTCTGGAACAATGTTTCTGCATCAAGTGTATTCTGAGGTCGCTAGTTATAAATGAACACTAAACTAGTGCTAGGTGGAACATGAATATATTATATATTGAGTCCAATCAAGTAATATCAAACATAGAAGTATACATGTAGTGAATACAGTTATAAAAATAAGCCTATTCTAATAGATCTGTAGAAGCAAAACAAAAAGAGTGTCCATTCGGATGATTTGACCTGAAACATGACCAAAACTAGTAGGTACCTTAATCATATCGTATAAATTCATTCCAATAACTCTGATACAATTTGGGTTTTTTTTCATAGAAGAGCTCCCTAATAGCACACAACGTCCTAGGGACGTCCCTATTTGGTACAATTCACGTCCGAATGTCCCGAACCAAAAATAAAGGTCCTTGAGACGTCCCATCCCGTACATCTCATGCAATGTCCGAGCAAGGACGTCCAAGGAATGTCCCAGCTGGTACATCATTTAAAATGTCCTAGAAATAGCATCCCTCAGACGTCCCACGTGGTACATATTGTATAATGTCCATGCAAGGACGTCCTTGGCATGTCCCTGATGAGATATGATTTTGAACGTTCCTTTAGGGACATCCATCGGATGTCCCGAGTAGTACATATTCTGGCATGACTTCAGATCTTATATTATGTCCCTTCTAGATAACCATCAAAATGTCTCTGATGGTATATTCCTTCAAATATCTCTGCACAGACGCCCTTAATATTCCCAGGATCGTACAATAATCGAAATGTCCCTCAGGGACATCCTTCGAATGTCCCTTAGGGATGCCCGTCGGATGTCCCAATTGGTAAATGGACTGTTCTCTTCCAATGTCCTAGAAATAACGTCCTATGGACATCCCAGTCGGTACTTTCAATATGTTGTCCCTGCGAGGACGTTAACTTACACCTTTCCGACGAATGATTGCACGTAGGTTATAAGTACTCCTCGTCAATGTCCTTTACGTAAGTCCATTGGACCTCCTTGGGAAACCTTTTGGGGCCCTTCTACGGACCATCAACTCAACTGGATGTCCTAATCAGTTATGCAAGATCTGGTCCTAGAGGGACCCAGAAAAATTCAAATTCGAGAATAATTCGTACGTCCCTGGAACATCCTATGGACATCCAATTGATATCCCTCAGCGGTGCTAATAAGTGGTCCTATGGATGTCCTGAGGATGTCCTCTGTGTTGCTTGATGAGGAATACTGTAGAATTTAGGTATTCGATAGTTGTCCAGGGGACATCCCTCAAGGACATCCCTAGTTGGTCCTCAAGTGGGACATTCGTGCGTTCCACAGACGTCCAATGGACGTCCACGGTACCAAATTCGAATGTCCTATGGACGTCCTGAATGTCCCGACAGGACGTCCTGAGGATATCCATGGGACATAAGTGTGTTATTAGGGAGTAAATACGCTTTTCTACTGATGTTCAAATCTGAAGAAATTTTTGAGACACGACTATCGTTCAATTCAAGCCAGATGTTCGAGTACGGATGTTTGCAATATGCTGTATAGTGACCACTGTTGATGCTACCGCTGTGGTTCGAAATAGCATAGAGATGGTACTGGAATGGTACACTTCCATCGGCAGCGTGATCACTCATATCGAGTCTGTCCAAAGGTACATAAACAAAGACGTTCAGTTTTTCTACGAACCGATCCAGCAAGAAACGTTTCAGATGGATAACAAGAATTTCAGAGAACCTCTGAATGGATAATGAATTTGTACATTTTCGCCTTTCCTTGCATTCGGAGCAGGTGGGCTTGTCTTCGCTTTCCAATGACTCCTCGCTGGTGAATGAGTCCAAGCACTGAAACAAACTGATTTCGCGCTTTTGCTGTGGTATTGGCAATGACAAATCCCAATAAGGCTCAAACGTCACTGATGAATAGCCGCAATACGTGCAACAATGAAGACTTGAGCATACCAATGAAATCATTCACTATCTCTGAAATATCCACTTTCAAGAATCCTTACCATGATTCCGAAGCCTTTTCGTTGACATCCAGAATTTCAGCGATGTCTGTAAACTTAGGATCTGGCTTCTCGATGACCTTTGATATCTTCGTGCAAACCCAAGAGCAGGAACCGCAGGAACTCTTGAGAGTCTTGCTGTGCGTTGCCGATGAAGCACGGCGCAAATCTTTGAATTGTGCCCTTCACATATATCATATTCACACCTTGGCCAGTCGAATCCTCCGACCACAGATCTCTTATGACTTCTGCGAAAGCCTTCATCAAAGATCCATTTGTGCTGGATATTCTCGTTTTGATGTCCCTGTTCTTGAAGTCCATTCTCCAATACTCCAACAACCACTCAGTGTGAGACAGGCATTGAATCATACTGTTCATGAAACACGTGTTCCCAGTGTTCTTCAAGCTGTTGAGTCCCGAAATCTTCCATGATAATGGATAATCCTTGGACCAGTATTCACAATTTCTATCGCTGGAGCGGAGAAATATCGATTTTGAATTTTGATTTTCAGTAAGAATACCAGATGGAGTTGAATAGGTTGACTGGTGATTCGATAATGACTCAAAGACACTTGATGTGGGTGGGAGATCAATAGCATGGATGGGTTTAAAGAGTTCACATGGATCTTCTTGTTTAGATCTGCTTGCACAAGTCCGTGTTTTTATTAAAAAAGCATCACCCAGTACATGAAAAAATTTCTTCGAGTCCTTTGCTAGATGGAATAGTATTGAGAATGGAAGCAGCATTTCCTCTCTGAATCTCAATTGAAATTCTTTGGCGGAGGTATTCAGTAGATCTATCTTCACTGCTTTGAGCATAAATCAATTGGCCAAAAGTTGAAATCATTCCTCTGGCTGAAGGTCTCCAAGGTCCAACAGTTTCGAATCCTAATGGCATAAATTTGAACTTGTCGTTTCACCAAGGTTGATTAATACTCACTATTATTAAACTATTTTTATGAGACAAAATTGCTCTGAACGAACTCATCGATGAAGACAATCTATCAAATCGATTGATGCAGCTGACATCTCATCTGTGGTGTAACATCTTTTCAGTGAGGGTTGCTGGGCTGTGTGCACGTGAATATATACCAAAGAAGGGAAGATTTGTATTTCGTGCAAGAAATTTATTGAAAATATTCGTAGCAGAGCGCTTTCGACTGTTAAGTCATCATCAGTGCGTACTCGTTAGGTTAACAGGGAAGTTCGTCCATAAAAATATCTTTAGTCCAGTTTAAAACTAACGACATTTAAGTAAAATACGTTACAAACATATTAAAATGTGTTTACCAAAAGGGAATGAAATATGGATTACATCTTGTTAAGCAGCCATTGTCGCTGAGACATGTCGTGTTGAAGTCATCAAGAGTTCACTTCAACACGACATGCCGCAGCGACAATGGCTGCTTAACAAGATGTAATCCAAATTTTACCCCCTTTTGGGAAACATGCACATTTTAATTTGTTTGTAACGTATTTTACTTAAATGTCGTTAGTTTCAAACTGATGGACCAAAGATATTTTCATGGACGAACTTCCCTGTTAACCTGACGAGTACGCACTGATGATGACTTAACAGTCGAAAGCGCTATGCTACGAATATTTTGAATAAATTTCTTGCACGAAATACAAATCTTCCCTTCTTTGGTAACATCTTTTCGCCGTTCGGACATCTCCGATATATTATTCGGGTGCCTTAGCCCACCGTCACCACTCCCACTGTTCACGGTTTCATTATGATGTTAGCATTTGTGAATGTATACAATGCGTTCTCGCTAGTACACGGAAAAAAATGGTCCAAGTGAAACGTTTCCTTGACTCGTTTCATATTGTGATAAGAAAAATAATACCTATTACAGAAGCAATTACCTTTCGCCTCTGGAAAAATGATGATCCTGAACGCATGAACTTGTAGCTATAATACCATCCACCTACAGTTAATAGTTTTCATCCTAGATTATTCACTTTGTATAGTCATAGGTCGACATTTTATAAGCGCTGTTGAAGTATAATTTAATATTCATTAACTCTGCGTTTCTGGAAAGGAAATAATTACAACAGAAACTGGAGTTACAAGCACAATGCAATTGTTTATCTGCGGAAAAAACCTAATATTCCTACGGTAATATCACATGTTGCCCTAATATATCAATCGGGAGTAATCGGGAACAATCACCGGTATGTCTTTCATATTTCCGAATCCAACCAGCGTCCAGCGTCAGTTCGTTATGACTTCTCGAGAGTGCTGAGTATAAGGATGCATTGGTGGCCGTGGTAAATCGGAAAATGATTTTTGGTGTTGTACCTATTTATTATATACGCTGAGGGAGTATGGCTAATTATACCACGAGAGGTATAAGGGGTGCCATTTAAAATTCCTAGA